TGTCGATGTCGATGCCGATGCCGATGCCGATGTCGTCGTCGTCGTCCTCGTCGTCCTCTTCGCGTGGCTGACACCTTGAGATCCGACGTCGCGAACGAAAATGCAACATCGTAAAGAATCACGCCCGCAGCGCTAGACCCCACCTTCCTTTCGAGCCGGGTCGATCCGGCAGAGCCCCGGAGCCCGAACAGAAGCGAAAACGCCCGGGTTGAGAACATCGGGCGCCAGGATCTCAGGGCAGCTGGCCGTGGCTTCCTCGACGCCTGGGGCCCCCGAGAGGAGGCGTCGGGCGCCTCCCTTCGGCCGCGCGCGGGTGGCCGGCCACGGCTGTGGACGCCCGGGCCCGGAAAACGCAGGTACGATGCTCAACAGAGAGCGTTGTCCAAAACCAACACCGGCCACTGTTGGGCAGGCGGCTGTCTGTCTCAAGTGGACAACATCCACGGCGACGCCAACAGCGAACCCGGTTCATTATGAACACAAAGAACTGCTGTCGGACTTTGTGCCACGTCTTTCCGCTGCCCATGTCGTCCGCGCCGACATCAGCCAGTCTGGAAAAAGGGTCAACTTTACGCGTAGCCGACCCTCCCCCTCGCATAAATTAAATCCGCCGGCCCCCTTGTGGGGCCACCAGGCTGTAGGCCCGTGATTCGCAGTTTCCTGTACCAGTCGTAGGTTGTAGTTTCCAGTGTTACAGTTCTGCTTCTTGCTGGTTACTGTAACTAGTTGACATATTGCTGGTTACTGTAACTAGTTGATTGACCGCGCGAGGGGGGGGGGAGGCCCAAACCGGCTTTTTAGCACCCCCTGGGCGCGTTGTCTGAATTGCTGGGGGTGCTCGAAATCGACACCCCTCACGCAGATCCGCGGGGTCAGGGTCCAAAAACACATGGGATTTGCCACATTTCTGAAATTCGGTGCCACCCCTCACGCAGATCCGCGGGGTCAGGGTCCAAAAACACAGGGATTTGCCACATTTCTGAAATTCGGTGCCACCCCTCACGCAGATCCGCGGGGTCAGGGTCCAAAAACACAGGGGATTTGCCACATTTCTGAAATTCGGTGCCACCCCTCACGCAGATCCGCGGGGTCAGGGTCCAAAAACACAGGGGATTTGCCACATTTCTGAAATTCGGTGCCACCCCTCACGCAGATCCGCGGGGTCAGGGTCCAAAAACACAGGGGATTTGCCACATTTGCCACATTTCTGAAATTCGGTGCCACCCCTCACGCAGATCCGCGGGGTCAGGGTCCAAAAACACAGGGGATTTGCCACATTTCTGAAATTCGGTGCCACCCCTCACGCAGATCCGCGGGGTCAGGGTCCAAAAACACAAGGGATTTGCCACATTTCTGAAATTCGGCGCCACCCCTCACGCAGATCCGCGGGGTCAGGGTCCAAAAACAAGGGATTTGCCACATTTCTGAAATTCGGTGCCACCCTTCACGCACATCCATCGCAAGGCGTGGTAACCCAAACTGCGAGAACTCCCTCGGCCCTTTAATCGCAAGGTGTGGTAACCAAGCCCGTAAACCATACACGTCTTACCAATCGCCAGGTGTGGTAACCCCTCTTGTGATCAGTTGGTTTTGCTGATTGCGAATCGGCTTCGCATGAAGTTTCGATACTGCTTCACGACAGCGCCAAGGCCTCATGACTTAGCTCTTCCATGGCCCATTCTCCGAGAGAGGGGGCCGGCGGCAGGGGGCGAAACCCTTACGGATTTGCTTCATTTAGCCTACGACAGATCTACGAATCGATCTACGAATCCTCCACGCATGTCTTGTAGACTCGACGAGGAACTCATGTCTGGGGCAACTCAATTTTGTGGTCGCGCATTGTACCCATTCGTGGAGCAGGGACCGACCGTCCCAGCAATCCTATAGTCCTACCGCGAAGTGTTCTTAGAACCCAAGAATGTTCCAAGAACGAAGACACTGTTCTTAGTCCGCTGTGCTAGAAGCAGACCGCCTCGTCCATACATATTTCTAGGAACCTTTCCTGCAGACCACAAGCCGTTCGTAGAGCTTTCTATAGTGGGCACATATGCGAGCCAGGAAGCTTCGCCACTGCTTGAGTTCGTTCCGCACCCAGTCCCGGCGGCGACGATAAGGGCGATTAGCCGAGGGGCGGGCATTACACGTACTCGCCCAGGAGCCTTGTCGAAGACATAGATCATCGGCGCCCCTGAATACATGTGCTGCTCTCCCCTGAATACATGTATTGCTATCGTCGCCTCTGACAGTCTGGTCTTCCCGACTTTCGGCCGCGCGCTGGTGGCCGGCCACTGACGGGTTCCGCGCGGCGCGCCGCTGGCCGATCGGCCCCGTCTGTGTGGGGCTGACGGCCGCGGACCGACGCGCGCTCGCCCTCGCGGCGCGCGGGCGGGCTGGCCGCTCACCCGCCCCGCCCCGCCCCTCCAGGATGAGACGAAGCGGCACCCAAGGCGACGAGATCCACATCCTCTTCCTCCACCTCTGCCTCGTCCTCGTCCTCGTCCTCCTCCTCCTCCTCCTCCTCCTCCTCCTCCTCCTCCTCCTCCTCATCCCTCCTCCCCCTCTTTTTTGACTGGGGGGCTCTTGGGGACGGGCCTCTGGACCACACATCACCTTGGCAAAACTGGTCAATCCTGCTCTCGCACGGGCTTTCCCGTGTACGGATTCTTACCGTCCAGGATTCGATCACGATAGAGCTTCCGCCACCGATGGGCGACAATACCCTTCATCAAAGGGCCCTCGCATTCCCGCAACAACTTCTGGGCTCGGGAACGGGCGAAAGCCCCACAAATTCGGCACACAGCATAACCCACCTTCTCAACCACTTCGTGTTCCCGAGGTGGGGGTGGAGGTGAAACCTGGGACCCAGACCCCCTTGCTTCCGCAGCCCTCTCAGCCGCAGCCGCACGGATCTGGTCCGTCAAACAATCACCGTGGACCAGGGCCTTGACTTTCAAACGGGCCCTGCCTTTTGAAATGGCTCCCCCCCATCCTGGGCACAACTCCCGCTTGGCCATGCTGAGACGAGCGGCCACGCGGACGAGGCGAGAGCAATCATCCTTTTCCTCCTCCTCCTCCCCCGCCGCTTCCTCCTCCTCCTCCTCCTCCTTCTCCTCCCCCTCCTCCTCCTCCTCCTCCTCCTCCTCCTCCTCCTCCTCCTCCCTCCTCCTCCCTCCCTCCCTCCCTCCCTCCTCTCCTCCTCCTCCTCCTCCTCCTCCTCCTTCTTCCCCCTCCTACTCCCTCCTCTTCCTCCACCTCCTACTCCTCCACCTCTCCTTTCGTTGGCAGCGTCGGCCCCGCCAGTGTGACAGCTTAGCGAACGCCAGCCCAAAAGCGCAGCTAGAGCAGCACTGAACTCCTTCAGCCGCTGGTGCAACTCGCTGGCGTTCAAGCCGAATGGCGAAACCCGAACCCACGAAACTTAACGACAGCTCGGCGGCAATCGCATTCGATACGCGTACACGCTGTATCGGGAAGCTCTGGTGCCGAGAATTACGCTACCGAGTAACCCCACATACTTATTTTAACTATTATGTGTTTGCTTAAGTTAATGATATATGCGCAATTCTGCGTTCTGAGCCCTCGTCGCAAATGTTCCCCTATGTGCCATCCAACGCCATATTGCTTGAACCTCCTCCCTCTTCCTAGCCTTCTATCCTCCATCGAGGACAGATTCGAGCCAGCCAGCGGCCGCGGTGAGGGACCACCCCCTGCGCACCCCGTCTGGCGTCGAGAAAGCGCCACGCTTGCTATGCCCTGGACGACCGTCGTGCATAGTGGCCGTGGTGAGGGACCACACCCTGCGCACCCCCTATGGTGTCGAGAAAATGCCACGCCTGCTATGCCCTGGACGACCGTCGTGTATAGCGGCCGCGCTGAGGGACCACCCCCTGCGCACCCCCTATGGTGTCGAGAAAGTGCCACGCCTGCTATGCCCTGGACGACCGTCGTGTATAGCGGCCGCGCTGAGGGACCACCCCCTGCGCACCCCCTATGGTGTCGAGAAAGTGCCACGGCTGCTATGCCCTGGACGACCGTCATGTATAGCGGCCGCGCTGAGGGACCACCCCCTGCGCCCCCCCCTATGGTGTCGAGAAAATGCCACGCCTGCTATGCCCTGCTGTGCTGAGCTGAGCTGTGCTGTGATGTGCTGTGCTGAGCTGAGCTGTGCTGTGCTGAGCTATGCTGAGCAGTGCTGTGGTGAGGGAGCGCGGGTGCGACGAGGCATGGAAGAGAACCAAAACCCCACTAAGCATGTGGGGAACAAGAATGCCATCGCGGGCGCAGGACTCCATAGGCAAGGACCCCGAATACTCCAGAAAGAGGACGATCCAACCAGCACAGACTAACGTACGACGTCAAGCGAAGAGGAGACCATCGCCAGGGTCTGGCGGCAGCCCTCGCGGCATCCAGGTACCCCAGGAACGGGATGAACCACGGCTTCAACCTCTTGAGCTTGATCTTCAGAAGGGCCCGAGCAGCAGCACCGTCGGCCAGCGGATCCGCGAGGCTGGAGCGGGGTCCCCCCCGCGTCGCACGGGGGAGCCCCTGCAAGCATACCCTCCCCGGGCGGTAATGGGAGACTGCAGACTTGTAACTGATGGCGCCTGAAGTTCCCGTTGCCCCTCGAACTGATCTGGCACCTCGGGCGGGGCGGGGGTCGTGGCGTGGAGATCCTCTTGTATCACGAGCGCTGCCGAGGAATAGACGATGGCACCACGTGTGCATCGAACTCCACGTCGAGCGCGCCGCAACCCACATGCCACAGGCGGGCCCCAGTGGAAGTCGCCCCCCACCAATGGTCCCGAAAGGCCCGAACCAAGCGTGAAGACATGTTCATTCGCCTCATCCGTGTCAAAGTAAACCAAGGGCCGCCGCCCACACTGGGCACGAAGGCGGAGGCCTCAGCGCGAAGCCCACCAGGGCGTCCCACGACCTGCTCGTCCAAACCGGAGGAGGACGAGACCAAGCGAGCCGTATCCTCCCACCCCTCCTCGAACCACCTGGACTTCTGGAGCCGCTTCAGCTCGGGCACCGATGCGGAGACCAGCGGGCATCTCTGCGTGTCCGAATGGAGAGCCACATTGCGACGAAGGACACTCTCCTGCGAGGGCGTGGCGCCCGGGAGGAGAGCTCACGGAGCGGGGGCTAAACCAGCACGCGGTCGACGAGCTCGCCGTCGCCCAGGATCGAGCTCAAAGGGTCCATGACCGAGGTGTGGCGCGCCAGCAGGGCGGCGAACTCGGTCTCGAGCCGCCGCACGAGGAGATCTGCAGACAGCCGCGCATCGAGGCGACGAGCACGGCGATCCGAAGCTGAAAGGAAAGCAAACGCGCCAACTGGGGGCGCAGTCCCGTGCCATCTCAAGCAACCTCCCCGCAGCAGGCTCCACGAGCTAAGCACGTTGAGGCAATCTGTTTGGGAGAAATAGCTTGGGTCAAAGTGGCTACGGGCCTCCTCCTTCTCCCCCTCTTCCTCTTCGTGCTCCTCCCCCTCCTCCTCCTCCGTCTTCCCCGCTCCTCAATCCTCCTCCTCCTCCTCCTCCTCTTCCTCCTCCTCTTTCTCCTCCTCCTCCTCCTCCTCCTCGCCTTCCCGCCCCACTCCTCCTCCTCCTCCTCCTCCTCCTCCTCCTCCTCCTCCTCCTCCTCTTCTGGTTCTCCTCCTCCTCTTCCTCCTTCTCCATCTCCTCCTCTCCCTCCTCCTCCTCCTCTTCCTCCTCCTCCTCCTCTTCCTCCTCCTCCCTCCTCCTCCTCCTAAATATGGTTCCCCTCCTGACCCCCCGTCCTCTTCAGTATTTCTCCTCCTCCTCCTCCTCCTCTTCCTCCTCCTCCCCCTCCGCCTCCTCTTCCTCATTATCAGTATCAGCATCCTCATACTAATCCTCATCCTCCTCCGCATCCTCCTCCTCATCCTCCTCCTCATCATCACCATCATCAGCATCAGCATCAGCATCAGCATCAGCATCAGCAGCACATCATCATCATCATCATCATCATCATCATCATCATCATCATCATCATCATCATCATCATCATCATCATCATCATCATCAGCATCAGCATCATCATCATCATCATCATCATCATCATCATCATCATCGTCATCAGCATCATCAGCATCAGCATCATCATCATCATCATCATCATCATCATCAGCATCATCATCATCAGCATCATCATCATCATCATCATCGTCATCGTCATCAGCATCATCAGCATCAGCATCATCATCAGCAGCATCATCGTCATCAGCATCATCAGCATCATCATCAGCATCATCATCAACATCATCAGCATCAACAACGGCATCAGCATCGTCATCATCATCAGCACCAGCATCAGCAGCGGCCGCATCAGCATCATCATCATCATCATCGTCATCAGCATCATCATCGTCATCATCAGCATCCTCAGCGTCAGCGTCAGCATCCTCAGCATCATCAGCACCATCAGCAGCACCATCATCATCATCACCATCATCACCATCAGCATCACCACCACCACCATCATCACCATCAGCATCAACAACATCATCATCAGCATCAGCATCATTATCAGTACCATCATCACCACCATCATCATCAACATCATCAACAGCATCAGCATCATAATAAGCATCATCATCCTGGCCCTCCTCCTCCCTCTTCCCTCCGCCTCCCTCCCTCTCCTCCCCCTCCTGCTCCTCTTCATCTTCCTCATCCTCCTCCTCCGTCTCGTCTTCCTCCTCCTCCTCATCCTCCTCTTCCTCCTCCTCCAACGCCTCCTCCCCCTCCTCCTCCTCCTCCTCCTCCTCCTCCTCCGCCTCTTCCTCCTGCTCCTCCTCCTCATCCTCAACATCATCATCGTGTCCCTCCTCCTCCTCCTCCTCCTCCTCTCTCCTCCTCCTCTTCCCCCTCGTCCCCTCCTCCTCCGCCTCCTCCTCCGCCTCCTCCTCCTCCCCCTCATCCTCCGAGTCCTCGTCCGCCTCGTCCTCCTCCTCCCCCTCCTCCTCATCATCCTCATCATCAACATCATCAACATCGACATCAACCTCATCGTCATCATCCGTACCATCCGCAACATCAGCATACTCACCATCATCAGCATCAGCATCAGCATCAGCAGCACATCAGCATCACCATCATCATCATCACCAGCATCATCAGCAGCATCATCAGCAGCATCGACATCAGCATCAGCAGCACCAACAGCATCAGCAGCAACATCATCATCATCATCATCATCATCATCATCAACATCATCATCATCATCATCATCACCATCATCATCATCATCAGCATCATCAGCATCAGCAGCAGCAGCATCATCATCAGCATCAGCATCAGCATCAGCATCATCATGTTCCTACATTTCCTCATCATCATCATCCTCTTCCCCCTCCTCCGCCCCTCCTCTCCTCCTCCACCTCCTCCTCATCCTCTTCCTCCTCATCATCATCATCATCCTCATCATCAGCATCATCATCCTCCCCCTCCACCTCCCCCTCCTCCTGCAGATTCCCCCCCTCCTCCTCCTCCTCCTCCTTCTCCTCCTCCTCCTCCTCCTCCTTCTCCTCCTCCTCCTCCTCCTCCTAATCATCCTCGTTCGCGTCCTCCTCCTTCTCCTCCGCCACCTCCTCCTCGTCCTCCTCAGTCTTCTCACCTCTTCCCTCGTCCCTTTTCCTCCTGAGCATCATTCTCCTCATCTTGTCCCCCCCCCCCCTCCTCCTCCTCCTCATTCTCCTCCTCCTTCTCCTCCCCCGTGCCATGCTCCTCGTCCTCCTCCTCCTCCTCCTCCTCGCTCCCTCCCTCCCTCCCTCCCTCCCTCCCTCCCTCCCTCCCTCCTGCCCCCCCCTCCCTCCCTGCCCTCGCTCACTCCCTCTTCCAGCCGTCTGCTCTCTCTCTCCTCCTGCCTCCTCCTCCTCCTCCTCCTCCTCCTCCTCCTCCTCCTCCTCCTCCTCCTCCTCCTCCTCCTCCTCCTCCTCCTCCTCCTCCTCCTCCTCCTCCTCCTCCTCCTCCTCCTCCTCCTCCTCCTCCTCCTCCTCCTCCTCCTCCTCCTCCGCTCTCTCCTCCTCCTCCTCCTCTCTCTCCTCCTCCTCTCCTCCTCCTCCTCCTCCTCCTCCTCCTCCTCCTCATATTAATCATCCTCTTCTCCCCTCCTCCTCCTCCTCCTCCTCCTCCTCCTCCTCCTCCTCCTCCTCCAACTCATCCATCTTCCTCGTCCGACTCGTCTTCCTCCCTCCTCCTCCCTCCTCGTCCTCCTCGTCCGCCTCCCTCCTCTTCCCTCCTCAGACTTCCCTCCCTCTCCTCCTCCTCCTCCTCCTCCTCCTCCTCTTCCTCCTCTTCCTCCTCCTCCTCTTCCTCCTCCCTCCTCCTCCTCCTCCTCCGCCTTTTCCTCCCCTCCTCCTCCTCCTCCTCCTCCTCCTCCTCCTCCTCCTCCTCCTCCTCCTCCTCCTCCTCCCCCTCTTCCTCGTCCTTCTCCTCGTCTTCCCCCCTCCTCCTATTAGTCTTAGTGTTTTTCCTTCTTCTTAGTGTATTTCGTTGTACTATTATTTTTCGTATGGTTATTGTTGTTGATACTGTGATTACTAGTATTATTAATAATATCGCGGATACTGTCACTATTAGTGATATTCGTATTCTTAATATTATTGTTCGTATTCTAAATCGTGTGGTCAGTTGTATGCTTATGTTTACTACTACTATTACGAACAATAAAGTTTTATTATTATTGGTAGGATTATCATCATGTCTATTATTTTCATTACTGTTATCCGCATTCATACTACAACTCGTGTTACTAATAGTATGCGAAATATTATTAGTATGTGTATGAATCGCATTCGTAATTTTACTAGTATTATTACTATTACTAATAATATGATTAGTATTAGTATTGGTATTATTATAAATATTATGCTTCGCTGTATGATTTGTACTCGTATCAGTATTATTATTAATACTATGATTCCTCCTCTTCCATTTCCTCCTCCTCCATGTCCTCCTCCTCCTCCTCCTCCACCATGTCCTCCTCCTCCTCCTCTTCCTCCTCCTCCTACTTCTCCTCCTCGTCCTCGTCGTCGTCCTCCTCCTCCTCCTCCTCTTCGCCCTCGTCCTCGTTTTCGCCCTCGTCCTCGTCGTCCTCCTCATCCCCCACCTCGTTTTCCTCCTCGTCCTCCTCCTCCAAGTCCTTCACTTCCTCCTCCTGCCTTTTTCCTTTTCCTCCTCCTCCTCGTCCTCGTCCTCGTCCTCCTCCTCCTCCTCATCCTCCTCGTCCCCGTCCTCCTCCTCGTCATCTTGCTCGTCCTCTTCGTCCTCCTCCTCGTCCTCCTCCTCCAGTTCCTTCATCTCCTCCTCCTCGTCCTCGTCCTCGCCCTCGTCGTCGCCCTCGTTTTCGTTTTCGTTTTCGTCTTCGTCCTCGTCCTCGTCCACGTCCTCGTCCACGGAGGGGGGGGGGGGGGCCGGGGGGGGTCTCCCGGGGGGGTCCCGGGGAGTCCTGGGGGGGGGTCGCCACCCAGATGCGCACCATCCCCCCGGCCTACTTTTCTGATTGTTTTGCCCATCCCGAGCATGTGGGGGAGTGTCCTCCTCTCCCCTCTTCGCCTCCCCCTCCTCCCGCCTACCTCCCTCCTCCTCGGGAGGGGCCAAGAGGCCCCCAACAAGCTCCCGAAAGGCGCCAAATCTAGCCCCCAGAGGCCCAAGGCCCCCCAAAAGCGTTCCGAACAGCGCCAAATCTAGCCCCCAGAGGCCCGAGGCCCCCCAAGAGCGCTCCGAAGAGAGGCCAAAAAGCATCCCAGAGGACTCTGACCCACGTAAACATCGTTGTCGTCGTCGTCGTCGTCGTCACCGTCCTCCTCAACCTCCTCCTCCTCGCGTTTTCCTCCTCCTCCTCCTCCTCGCGTATTCTTCCTCCTCCTCCTCCTCCACCTCCTCCTCCTCCTCCTCTCACCGCCCTCCGCCTCCTCCTCCTCGCGTCTTCCTCCTCCTCCTCCTCGCGTATTCCTCCTCCTCCTCTCCTCCTCCTCCTCCTCCTCCTCCTCCTCCTCCTCCTCTTCCTCGTGCTTGAATACCTCTGACTGACACCATCATCGCATGTGTGTATGTATATATGTATAAATATGTATATATATATACAAAAACCTATACACATACATATACATATACGTATACATCTAGCTATACATATAGAATAAACACGCTAGCTCGCCTCACTCATCATCATCGTAATTTCCGCAGCTAACCCTGTCTCTTCCTCTCTCTTACTCTCTTT